GAAAATTCTCATATATATATATATATATATATATTTAATTTTAATTGTGTTTTTCAGGATATTGCACGCTTTCGGAAGGATCTTAAGTTACTAATCTCAAGTGCAACACTTGATGCGGAGAAGTTCAGTGATTTTTTTGATTCAGCTCCTATTTTCAAAATTCCAGGGAGGCGATATCCTGTTGATATCCATTACACAACGGCCCCTGAAGCAGATTACATTGATGCCGCCATTGTCGCTGTTCTTCAGATACATGTGACACAGCCTCCTGGCGATATTCTCGTATTTCTTACTGGACAGGAAGAAATTGAAACCATTGATGAGATTCTGAAGCATCGAATAAGTGGTTTTGGAACAAAAATTGCAGAACTTATAATATGTCCAATCTTCGCTAATCTTCCAACGGAGCTTCAGGCAAAGATCTTTGAACCTACACCAGAAGGCGCTCGTAAGGTTGTACTGGCAACTAACATAGCTGAAACATCCCTAACCATTGATGGGATAAAATATGTTGTTGATCCGGGATTCTGCAAGATAAAATCATATAATCCACGAACTGGTATGGAATCATTGCTTATAAATCCAATCTCAAAAGCCTCTGCAATGCAAAGAGCTGGAAGGTCTGGGCGTACTGGACCTGGAAAATGCTTTCGCTTGTACACCGCTTATAATTATGAAAATGATCTTGATGAAAACGCAGTTCCTGAGATACAGAGGAGCAATCTTGCAAATGTTGTGCTTTCTCTCAAGAGCTTGGGCATTCATGATTTGGTAAATTTTGATTTTATGGATCCTCCTCCTTCGGAGGCAATGCTTAAGGCCCTCGAACAACTTTATGCTCTTAATGCATTGAATAGCCGTGGAGAGTTAACAAAAATTGGGAGGATGATGGCGGAATTTCCGCTCGATCCGATGCTTTCGAAAATGATTGTTGCTTCAGATAAATATAAGTGCTCTGATGAGATCATATCAATTGCTGCAATGTTGTCGATTGGGAATTCGATTTTCTATCGTCCGAAGGATAAACAAGTTCATGCAGACAATGCTAGGCTGAATTTTCATACTGGCAATGTTGGGGACCATATTGCTTTGCTTAATGTAACATTCGGTCGTTCAAATTTATATTTATATGTCAACATGCTTCATTATTTTTTGTTTCCCTGTCTTCTGCAATTAAAGTAGGTTCTCACTAGCCTTGGTATTTCAGGTTTACAATTCCTGGAAAGAAACAGACTTTTCAACGCAGTGGTGTTATGAAAACTACATCCAGGTACTATCACATTAAGCTTTGGAGATTTTTTTTATACGTCTTTTTGTACCATTTAAAACCTTTCGTAGAAAGCAGGTGAAATTTTGCAAGAAGAATGTGTTAGAATCTAGCAGGTCTTAACTTGTTGAAAATAGGTTTTGGGATGAAAACTGAGTTTCCGAAGTTAACCCCAATCAAATATTCCCTATTTTGGAATCTAGTCGCTGGCCACATGTTGAAGAGAGAGAGAAATAAGATCTTTTCAGATTTCTACACTCCTGCTCAAGCTGGGTTGTAGATATTGTAGAGGCCAAGCTTAGTAATAAACTCCGAGAAGATGCTCAAAGGAAGGGCTTTAGTGAAGACATCAACAACTTGTCGGTGTGTAGGGATGTAACTTAGATGTATAATTCCCCCATTAAATTTTTCAGAGATGAAGTGTTCATCAATTTCAATATGCTTGGTACTGTCAAGATGCACATCATTATTGACAGTATTGATAGTTGTTTGACTATCACAACATATC